AAGAGGCGCACGGTGGTGCTCGGCTTCTCCGGCATGCCCTCGAAAAAGCGCACGAAGCCCGCCTCGGCCGCGCCCTCCAACTGCAGCGTCTCTTTCGGCTGCACCGCCATTTCGGAACCTCTCCACGAAACCTCTCCACAGAGCGCCTGAAAGGACTGGAAGACCCCCCAAAGTCCACACCGCTGTTTCCCGCCTCCCTCCAGCGGCCCGGTCCCGCCTCCGCCTCGGTGGGCTCGCCCAATCAGCATCCATCGTTGCGCCTCGGCGGGTGAGAGCCCACTGCGGCAACCAATCATAAGCGGACGTGGCCCAGCTTCCCGCGAACGCTGCGAGCCTAGCTACTGCGCATGCGTATGGCTAGCTAGCGCGCCGACCTGTAGACGCGCGTCTTTGAACTACCTTTCCATACTTTCAGGTCCCCAGAGCCTGAGGCCCAGGTGGGTGGGCAGTTCCAGGTAGGTGGCAGTCAAATAAGAAGTTCTCCATAGGTATTGAGAGTTTAAGTGACCGGAAACTTGAGAGAGAAATCACAAAGAACTTGTGAACAAAAACTGTCCCTTTCACCTTGGCCGGGTCTTTTGAATATGTGCCCTCCTCCCCCACTTCCTCCATCCCTCCCCCTTTTTTTAATCTTGACACAGAGTATCACTGTGTAGACTAGGCTGGTCTTGAATTTACAGATTCGCCTTGCCTCCATCTCCGGACTGCTGGGATTAAAGGTGTGTGTTCGTGGGGGCTAGAGAGATGGCCCAGCCGTTAGGAGTACTGACTGCACTTGGCAGAGGATCCAGGTTGGATTCCCAGCACTCACATGGCGGCTATGAAACGTCCTTAACTCAGTTCCAGGGGAATCCGAAGCCCTCTTCTGACCTCCGCGGAATTGCACGACACGGGTTCACTCACATACATGCAGGCAATACACTCATACACATAAAATATTTTTTAAAAAGGTGTGCCCTTTTTTTCTTTTCTTTTTTTTTTTTTTTTTTTTTTTTTTTTTTTTTTTTGAGACAGGGTCTCCCAGTAGCCCCAGCTGGCCTGGAACTCGCTATATAGACCAGGCTGGCCTTGAACTCAGAGATCCCCCTGCCTCTACCTCCCAGGGCGCTGGGATTAAAGGCATAGGCCACCAGGCCCGGCAGGTGTGCCTTTTAAAGCAAACTGCCCACCATAAGATTTCAGGTTTACTAACTCATTTTTTTCATTTCATCCATCTACTGTCAAAAAACTCGGTTTGGGCGCTGGAGATAAGAGGTGTGAACTGAAGTTTCTAGAAGAAAGCTGCACTGAGGTAAATAGAATACAAAGCTGTTAACTGATTAAGATCTGGGATTGTCTAGAATGTTGCAGGTCCAGAGCCAGATTGTCTTGGGTTAATTTTAGCCCACGTGCGATTAACCTAACATCCTTCTGACTGGAGTAAAATCATTTTTGGACGCTTCAGACCCCTTAAGTTTCTACTGACTCAGACTAAGAATGTCATCATAACATCTAAGGCTAAGAAGACGCTTCCCCTTTTGCTGTAAGCTGCCTGATATTTTCACCAATGTATTGGAAAAATACTTTGATTTATAACTTTTTTTATTCTGTTACTATAAAAACAATGCCAGCTGGCTGTGGAGATGTCTTCAGTGGGTAAAGGCACTTGCCTATCCCAAGGACCACAGAGGAAGGGAGAGAACCAACTCCTGCAAGTTGTCCTCAGACCTTCACACACTGCACACACACTAAAATAAATGTAATTTAATAAGTTTTTTTAAAAACTTCATGAAACTGTTGACTATGATGGAACATGGTATTTGGGGTAACCTAAATCTGTATTCCTGGGCCTTGGTCACCTATATTTGGCTCCAGAATAAACTATTTCTCTTTCCCTTTGAGTTGAGAGATGTTTTTTGTTGACATGTGGTTTGAATTTTGTAGAAAGATGAGCAAAGACCTGAAGGCGGTCAAGGACCATTGTGCTGGTTTAGGGGTAACTCTTCCTTTTGAACTCTTTCATGTGGCAGTGACCCCTACTCTGTAGTAGCAAAATATTACTCTATGAGGCCTTTTTTTTGTTACTCTGAGAGAGGATCTTAAGTAGCCCAGGTTGTCCTCAAACTCATTATGTAGCTGAAGATGAACTTTTTATGTTTTGTTTTTTTTTCATTACTGGGAACTGAATTTAGGGCCTCACAAGCTGGAGAGATGGTGCTGCAGCTTAGGTTAAGAGCACTGGCTGCTCTTACAGAGGACCCAGGTTCAGTTCCCAGCACCCACATGGTGACTAACAAACGATCCATAACTCCAGTTCCAGGTGATTCAACACCCTCTTCTGACATCTGGGGGCATTGCATGACAGGGGTGCACTTATGTATGTGCAGGCAAAACACTCATACACATAAAATTTTTTTTTTTTTTGGTCTTTTTGAGACAGGGTCTCCCTGTAGTCCCAGCTGTCCTGGAACTATGTAGACCAGGCTGGCCTTGAACTCACAGAGATACATCTGCCTCAGCCTCCCAAGTGCTGGGATTAAAGGCATGTGCCACCACGCCCGGCCCTATTTTTTAAAAACTAAAAATAACTGACAAGTGGTAGAATATTTTCCTACCATGCATGAGGCTCTGATTTCAAGACCCAACACCAAAAAAAGAAGAAAAGTGGTATGATCAACCTTAGGCAAATGATTTGGAGTCAATGTGGTGTTTGGGCTGGGAGGGACTATTGGCTGCAGAGTAATCAGTGAAGACAGATAGGGGAGCATTTCTTTCTGATGGAGAATTACAGTGTTAGTGACTGAAAGGATGTAGGTTAGAGAGAATTTGGGACTTGATTCATGGTGATGCCATTATCTGGTTATTCTTTCTGTTTTGTGTTGGTTTTTAGTTTTTTTTTAGACAGGGTCTTGCTCTGTAGCCCTGATTGGCCTGGAATATGGTACATAGACCAGGCTGGCCTTGAACTCACAGAGATCTGCCTGCCTCTGCCTCCTGAGTGCTGGGATTAAAGGTATGTGCTGCCACATTGGCTCCATTTTAAGTTTTTGACTTGGAGTCTCCGTAGGTAGCCACAGAATTCACTATGTATGCCAAAGTGGTCTCACACTCATTGGTATCCTCTTGTTTCTGCCTCCCAAGTGCTAGGATTACAGCTGTATGCCACCATGCCCCACTAGCCATAAAATGATTCTGAGATGAAGTGGGGCATCAGGGATGTAGCTCATTGACTGAGCCCTTGCTTAACACACAAAGACCTGAGGCTCAATCTTCAGCATTGGAGAGAGCGGGGAAGAGGGAGGGAGGGAAGAAGGAAATGGGTTTGTGGAGGAAGAAATCACTGAATACTAGTTATGTGAAACTGGAAATTGATGAAGGTGAGAAATGAAGACTGCATCTGTTATCGCCTAGGCTTAGATGGTGGGTAACAAAGGTGATGGACAGAATCCTCTGATAGGAAAAACACAACAAAGAAAAAAATTCAGAAACATCAGTATTTCAGAATCTTTAAAAGAAAAATAACCAGGAGACACCAAGGAAGATGAAGTATAGACAAGACACTGGGCAGGGAATGGTGGAGCAGTTATCACAACAGGCTTTGCAAAGAATTCACTGGCAATTGGTAGGTCAGTGTTGACGTCAGCAAGAATAGCTTTAGACTAGAAGGCAGTGGGTCAAATAATACACCAGTTCCAAATTCACCCTTTTGGGCAACTTTCTGAAGTAAATTGGAGCTCTGCTAGCAGAAAGCACTGTAGGACAGTGCTGTTTCCTAGTGCAGTTTCCTGCGGTGTCCAGGGCTGCTCCATTACCCAGCTCCTGCAGTATTGGTGGCTTCTCTAGCACGTGGCTGTACTTGGCAGTAGATAAGAGCCAACAACTTCCCCAAGGCATATCTCAATACACTCACTGGAGTAATTTTATAGAAGGCCATTGGCATCTTCAAGACAGCTCTCTGTGAATAGCCTTTTCCTATAAATAGCTTTTTCCTGTAAAGGATCAGGTCTCACTTAGCTCTGCTACACCATCACAAAACCACCACACACAAAATATAATGAACGATTGTAGTTATCCTCCAAAAGCATTTAGGTTTCATATAATTTTCACATATCAAACTAAGAAGTACTCTTGACTTTTCTCCTAATCACTTTTCTTTGTTTCACTTTCTGAGACAGCGTCTTCCTATGACCCCAGCTGGCCTGGAACTAACTATTGTAGACCAGGCTGGTCTTGATCTCAGAGACAGATCCCCCTACCTCTGCCTCCCAAGTGCTGAGATTAAATGCCTGTACCACTCCCACATGGCTCCCCTAACCATTTAAAAATGCAAAAGTTGGCACCGAAAAAATGGCCCCACTCTTGCAGAGGACTCAAGGACTTGGGATTGGTTTCCAACACCCACATAGCAGCTAAAAACCATCCATAATTCCAATTCCAGGGGATCCAAGTCCTCTTGTGGCCTCTGTACATATGTGGTACACTTACATACATGCTGGAGAAACATTAAGACACATAAAATACAATGATTGTTTGGTAAAATTTTATTATGTGTATGTGTATCCATGTCATGCAATACTCAATCAGCATTTTGTTTCTTGGCAATGGAGATTGCACCTAGGGCCTCTCATATGTTAAGCACACACTACTGAGATCCACCCCCACACCCAGTTCTCAAAGCATGTTTTATTTACTGATCATTGCCTAGAAGTCTGTATGTGTAGCCCAAACTGGCCTCAAACCCATAATCATGACTTAGCCTCCCAAGTGCTGGGATTATAGGCATGAACTAAAACACAGGATTTACCAGAGCTTTTCATTTGTTTTCAGACAGGGTATCATGTAGCCAAGGCTGGTATCTAACTAGATACACAGCAGAGGATATCCTGCAAACAAACATTAATCCTCCTACTTCCACCTCCCAAGTGATAGAATTATAGATCTGTGCCACATGGCATTACCAGAGCATTTTTAAAAGTCTATGATATATGTTAGGAACTTTGATTCAAACCAATTTAGGAAACTCAGTTTAAAAATGTTTTATTTCATTAAAAAAAGGTTATGTACAAGACTCAAGGTATACAGAAAAGCAACTTTCAATCATAAAATGGGGTTGGGTCATCACACTCTAGTGTAATATGGAATGCACACTCTTCAGTGTTAAGCATCAATTACTTTATGCAGTCTAAGTTCTGGGTTTTATATGAGACCTGCATATATGAGACATTTGTCAGATTTTAAGGTTGGTAATGCCAGTTCAAGATGCTTATGTTTACAAGTACAAATTTCACTGTTACAAATACATAATATCAACTAACAAAACAGTAACCCTTTCAAGATCTTCTTTTTTGTCCCATGTTCATACATTTGCAATCTGGGTTCATTTGATAATTCCCCTTCTTGTAGTTCAATCCTCAAATCACAGTAGTTAGGCATTGAGTTCCCTACATAGCTCACCCATCTACTTCATCTCAGCCTTCCCATACTTTGCCATTTTCTTCCTTGTAGAAAGAACCAGCACAACAGTTCCAGCAATAATTGCTATTACTACGACCACATTTATTTTATTTTACATTATTTTATTAGTCCTCAAATTACAGTAGTTAAGCATTGAGTTCCCTATGTATCTCACCCATCTCCTTTATCTGAAACAGAGGGGAGGAAAACACAAGAAATTTTTTAATAACTTTCAATTCTTCATCCATTCAGAAAAGTTTTTTATTTTTTTATTTTATGTGTATGAGTGTTATGTCTGCATCTATGTAAATGCACTCATGTCGTGCAGTACCTAGGAGGACAGAAGAGGGCACTGGATCCCCTAGAACTGGAGTTATGGATGGTGGTTAGCCACCACATGGGTGCTGGGATTAGAACCCAGGTCTTCTGCAGGAGCAACCAGTGCTCTTAACTGCTGAGCCATCTCTCCAGTCCCTCAGAAGTTTCTTTAAAAGTTTTTAAGAAGGAAAGCAAGATGACCTTCCTTCACATTTATAAGACTTACTTAAATAAAAAAAGAGAAAGTCATAAGGAAACAATATATTGATTTATAATCCAAGTTACCATTTGAAATGATGTGGCCCAAGTGACTGGGGGAAACTAGCAGGAGGCTGGTTTTATGGTTGTTTTCGGGGGGTTTTGTGTTATTTTGAGACAAAGTCCCACTATGAAGCTTTGGTTAGACTGGAACTCCCTAGGTATACCAAGCTGGCCTATAACTCCTGGAATTAAAGGCCTGTGCTACCACACCCAGCTTATGTTTTTAGTTTTTGAGACAGTCTCACTCTGTAGCACAAGCTTTCCTGGAACTCATTATGTAGACCAGGTCTGCCTTTAACTCAAGGGGATCTGCCTGCCTCAGCCTCCTGAATGCTGGGATTTTAGCATTCAGCCAGCCTGCCTGCCTGCCTGCCTGCCTGCCTGCCTCCCTCCCTCCCTTCCTTTCCCCTCCCACCCACCTGGGGGGGGGTGTTCTTCAGACAGGGTCTCCCAGCTGGCCTGGAACTGGCTGTGTAGACCAGTCTGGCCTGGATCTCACTAACATCTGCCTGCCTCTACTAGGATTAAAGGCATGTGCCACAAGGCCTGGCCCCTGGTCTTTCACTTTTCAGGTAAAGAAACTTAAGTTCCAAATTAGGTGGCCTCTTCAGACCACAAGAGTGAGTTGCTAGTAGACTGAGACAATAATGACTGAACTTCTCCCTACACAGTAAGCATGGGACCAATACTTTACACAGATCACTTTGCTTATCCTTACAGCAGCTCTGTGCTTTCCATTTTGCAGATAAGGAAGTCTTGTCACTTGACAAGCTGATAAGGAGTCAAGCCCAAGTTTATATAGTTTTTACTTCAGGAATAGTCCCTGTGCTCACAAACAAAATCAATTTATGACACATGAAGACATTTTAGAAATTTCTGGTTCTATTAGAATATTTCAGTATTCTTTTCATTTCTTGTTTTGAGACATAGTCTCATGTAGCCTAGACTAGTCTGGATCTCCCCATGTAGACTTGAACTCTTCATCCTCCTGATTCCACCACCCAAGTGCTGGAATTACAGGTGTGGACCACCGATATTCTCTGTTGTTTGGAGGCAGAATCTCATTCTAACCCTGGCTGACCTGCAACCCACTCTGTAGCCGGAACTCACAACTTCCCAAATGCTGGGACCAAAGCGTGGGCCACCAAGTCCAGCTGAATATTCTTTTATATTTGTCTTTTTTGGTTGTGATTTTTTAAGTAAGTGATACATATACAACCACAAGTAAAGATGAGATACACCACAATTGGTGATACACAAAAAAATTTTATCCATAGAGTTCAAGGAGAAATGTCAATTCCAAATGACTAAAATACCCCACCAGCTTGTGACTAGTTAGTATGTAACCAGTTTACTACAAATTAAGTTGATCTTAAACAATTATTACACACTGGTACAGACATAGGAATCAGGTCATCAATCATTCTGAGTTTCTATAATATGGCTCCACTAGTGTGTGTCTCCAGAAGTCTCCTCCAGAGGTTGAGGCTAAAGTCAGAGGTTTCCTATTCTATTCTTCTACAAAGCAGAATTTAGTATAAAGTGGCCTACCATGGAACTCAGAATTAGGTAAGAGTTAAGTCTAAGACTGCCCCAAAGTCTCTGGTGTCTACAGAGTGAAAGACTTCAATGTAATTGTGAACCATCAGTGTCTAGGAAAGTGTTGTTATTATCGATACAAAATTCAGCAGGGCCTGTTTGGCCACTTACCTCAGCCTTCTCATACTTTGCCGTTTTCTTCTTTGTAGAAAGAACCTGAAAGAAAAATGATTTTTGTTTTAGAAACTGCTATGCAAGAAAGTGGCCAAAAATAATGTTTTCTTAAAAAATGTGTATATTTTTATGTGTACGGGTGTTTAGCCTGCATATTTTTCAGTGGACCATGTGTGTGCAGTGCCCTGAGGCCAGAAGAGGGTTGTTGGATCCCCTGGAACTGGAGTTAGGGACAGTTGTTAGCTGCCATGTGGGTGCTGGGAATCAAACCCAGGTCCTCTGCAAGAGCAGTGTTCTTAATCATTGAGCCATCTCTCCAGCCCGAACATATATGCTTTTCAAATATCTTTTTACATTTGTGTGTGTGTGTGCATGCACAAGCATGTATGTACCATGGTGTACAAGAGCAGTCAGAGGCTGGGTGTAGTGGTACACACCTTTAAGCCCCTTTAAGCCCAGCACTTGGAAGGCAGAGGCAGGCGGATCTCTGTGAGTTCAAGGCCAGCCTGGTCTACATAGTGAGTTCCAGAACAGCTGGGGCAACAGGGAGACCCTGTCTCAAAAAGACCAAAAAAAAAAAAAAAGAGAGGTCAGAGAAAAACTTGTTAGAGTTGATTCTCTCTTTCTAGCATGTGGGTCCTAGAGCTAGAACTCAGGTCATCAGGCTTGGCAGCAAGTGCCTTTATTCACGGAACCATCACACCAGCCTAACACAGATTATTTTAATTTCCATACAGGTCCATTCGGAACAGTTAAAGAAATCTATTCTTATGCATTCATTTCTTAAATTAAAATTTCACTAAACATAAAAAAAGGAGTCTAGCACAACCGAAACACCTACCAATGATTACTCTTTAATGCAATTTAAAAGTCTAGTGTGTACTCTTTTCATACTAATATAAACATGTAAGTACATCTATAAGTTTGGAGGGCTAAAAAATAGATAATCCCCTATGAAACTTTTTTTTTTTTTTTGGTCTTTTTGAGACAGGGTCTCCCTTAGCCACAGCTGGCCTTTAACTCACTATGCAGATCAGGCTGGCCTTGAACTCACAGAAATCCACCTGCCTCTGCCTTCAGAGCATTGGGATTAAAGGTGTGCACCACCATGCCTGGCCCTAGATCAAAACTTTTGACTGAACTTATACAAAATACCCCAAGTATACTATTTACCCATCTTTTCTCCAGTTAATGAACACGTGGGTTTTCTAAGTTTACCTTTACAACTAACAGTGCAACACATAACCTTGAATGTACTTCCTTATTGAACATATGCTTTCATTTCTATGAAACAATGAGAGTTCTGTCTCTTTGGTGTGCTTATTTGCCAACTGAAATTTCTATAAACTATCTCTACTTTAGCCATTCTTTTATTGGGTGGAGGAAAGTTGTTTTAAGACAGGGTTCTGCTATATTGCCTAGGCTAGCCTTGAACCTTGAACTCCCAAATCCTTTTGCCAAAGCTGGCCTGTGGGCTAGAAATATAGGTGTATGCCACCAATCGAGCTTGTTACATTCATGTGTGTGTGTGTGTGTGTGTGTGTGTTCATGCCTACCTGTCTGTGGAGGCAGAACAACTCTTAAGAACTGGCTTGAGCCTGGTGTGGTGGTGCATGCCTTTAATCCTACCACTCAGGAGGCAGAGGCTAGCCTGGTCTATATACCAAGTTCCAGGCCAGCTGGGGCTACAGGGAAACCTTGTCTCAAGAAGACCCAAACAAAACAACAAAAAAAGAATCATTTCTCTTGCCACCTTGTAGGAACCCGGGATCGAATTCAGGTTGTCAGGCCTGTGTCAAGTGCTGAGCCATGTCAGTAGCCCTATTGGATTCCTTCTGTAGGTTTCTTCATCAGCTTGTAAGAACTTTTTTTTTTGGGGGTGGGGTCTTTTTGAGACAGGGTCTCCCTGTAGCCCCAGCTGTCCTGGAACTCACTATGTAGACCAGGCTGGCCTTGAACTCACAGAGATCTGCCTGCCTCTGCTGGGATTAAAGGCGTGCGCCACCACACTGGCAAAAACTCTTTATATACTATGCATATCCTTTATTTTATGCAACATAAATGTTTTCTCCAGCTTACTGATATATTTTATTTTATAATATCTTTGCCATGAAAATGTTAATTTTTTTCTTTTCATATATATTCTAGATGGACCTCAATCTCTCAATCCTCCTACCTCAACTTTCTGAATGTAAAATCTTTAAAAAAAAAAAAAAAAACCCTAAAAGGGTGGGATACAGTTTAGTGGTAAAGTGACTGCCTAGCATGTATGAAGCCCTCAAATTCAATCTCCAGCACTGCAAAACTACATTCATATAGTAATACAGCCCTTCATGGACTTTAGGTTTCTTACATTAATGGTTTCTCACTGCAAAATATCAACATTCCCTATACTAATTTTCTTGAGACTCCTCTTTTTACATTATCTGGTAATCATATCTTTGAGTACAGGCTCACTGACCAACTCTCCACATTCCTGTGCCCTGAACATGCCTGTTGCCTACATTCTGGTAACAGCCAGTCCTGGTGGGGCAAAACAGAAATTCAACTTGCTTTCATCAGATGGGAACAAGTGTGGTAACATCACTGAAAATGCAAGTTACTCATACATTCAAATCTATTTTTTGCCAGGTGTGGTGGCACACATCTTTAGTCCCAGCACTCGGGAGGCACAGGTAGGGGGAGCTGTGAGTTCGAGGCCAGCCTGGTACATGGTGAGTTCCAGGCATGTCAGAGCCGCTAATCATTGAGCTGTTGGCAGCCTCGTTTACTGAGTTTGTGTCATGCAAACCAGTACTTAACCTGCCCATTCAGGAGGAAGGAGTTTTCTGGAGAGCCTCACAATACCTGACCTTGAGGCATTAGTGGTAAACAAAAGGATCCAAGAAGCCTTTGATCTGACCGCTCCCTGACCCTCAGATACAGGTGGGGAAATACAGCAATTGTAACTAATTGAGTTCTTCTGTATAAAAAGACAGAACTGAAATAAATCAAGGCTACAGTATTGACTGTTAGTCCTCCCAAGCATCTTTTCTGTCTCCTTTCCTTTCTTTCAATCCTCACTCCCCCTTTCAGGTACTGTCCGTTTTGGCCGGCTGGCACCGGCACAAGCAGGCTGGGGCTATAGGGAGATTCTGTCTCAAAAAAAAAATTTTTTTTATTTAATTATTTTTTGGGTGCTTTCTGAGATAAGGTCTTGGTATGTAACCCAAACTGGTCTCCTGAGGGCTGGAAATAAGGAATGTGCCACCATATCCAGCTCAGATCTACTTCTGAATTCTCTTATATTGGTTCTAGGATAAACCAGTCTTTGGGTGATACTTCCTGTCTGAAGTACTCCTAAATTCAATTTTCTCATTTGTTTTGAGACAGGATCTCTTGTAGACCAACTTCCTGTGCAGGCTTGAACCCAATACTCCTGCCTTCTCCTCCCAAGTGCTTGAATTACGGGTGTGTGTCATCACCCCCAGTGCAAATTTATTATCTTTATTTAGAACTGTTGCTACACATTTACTATTTTTAAAAGATTTTAATTTTTTAAAGTATTTTTTTATTTTATGTCTATGAGTGTTTTGCCTGCATGTATGTAAGTACACCATGTGAGTGCAAAGCCCTCAGAGTTCTGAAGAGGGTGTTGGATCCCCTGGAACTGGAGTTATGAATGGTTGTAAGCCATCGTGTGGGTGCTGGGAATTGAACCTGAGTCCTCTGAAAGAACAGCAAGTGTTTTTAATCACTGAGCCATCTCTCCAACCCCAAAGATTTTAATTTTTAAAAAAATTTTATTTATAAACTGGGTGTGGTGGTGCATGCCTTTAGTCCTAGCACTCAGGAGGCAGAGCAGGTGGATTCTGTGAGGCTAGCCTAGTTCCAGGCCAGCTGGGGTTACAGGGAGACCCTGTTCAAAAAGACCAAAAAGAAAAAATTTTATCTATATGAATGAGCATTTTATCTGCATGTATGTAAGTGTATGCACATGCACACAGTGTCTACAGAGGCCAAAAGAGGGCATCAGATCCCATGGAACTGGAGTTGTGGGTGCTGGGAACCAAACCTGGGTCCTCTGCAAAAGCAGCAAGCGCTCCAGCACCCAACTTTCACTACCACGCCCACCTCAATTTTAGTTTTTAAAATTAAATGTATGTATGTGTCTGTGGGGTGGGTATGTATACTTGAGTACAGTTGCCTGGGGAGACCAGAAGGGTGTTCAGCAACACCCTCTGCAAAAGCAGTATATGCTCTTAATTGCTGAGCCATCTCTCCAGCCCACATTCATTACTTTTGACTCTTTTCTTGGCTAAGATAAGTTTCATATTCTGGAGTCAGGGATATAGCTCAGTGGTGGAGGGCCTGCCTGGGACGCACAAGGCCCTGAGTTTGATTTCCAGTACTACATAAAAAAGTGTTCTGTTGCCAGGCGTGGTGGCACATGCCTTTAGTCCCAGCACTCAGGAGGCAGAGGCAGGCAGATCTTTGTGAGTTCGAGGCCAGCCTGGTCTACATAGTAAGTTCCAGGACAGCTGGGGCTACAGAGAGATGCTGTCTCAAAAAGACAAAAAAAAAAAAAGAATATATTCTTAAACTGGGCATGGTGCTTCATACCTTTAATCCCAGCACTCGGGGCAGAGCAGGCAGATCTCTGTGAGATCGAGGCTGTCCTGGTCGACACAGCCAGTTCCAGCCAGCTGAGGCTACAGGAAGACCCTGTCTCAAAAACCCAAAACCAAAAGAAACCAATATATCCTTAGATGAGACTGTACTTATTTTGTACTCACCAGCACAACAATTCCAGCAATAATTGCTATTACTACCACCACAATAACTGCAATGATACCAGCTGTCAGGCCCTGCATTGAAAATTCAGGTGGTTTTTCATCAACATAGTAAATTAGAGTTTGACCAGGATCCAGATCTAGTGGTTCTCCATTCACTCTCAAGTTCATTGTGTTAGAAGACTGGAACAGAGATTCACCTTTAACCTAGATTGCAGAAGAGCAAAACAATGAAAAAACATTTAAGAAAACCAATTGAGGTCACCAATAATTACCTATCAATTAATGCCAGCAGAATTGCTGCCAAGAATTTTTACGGTTTTATTGATAACAACCAATACCTTGAAACTTAAAAAACTGCTATAATGCAGGAAAATGTTAGGCACAAAATTAGAAATAGTAAAATGAAGCCCATATATCTACCTTCCAAATTCAAAAATACCAAGACAGCCAGTTTGATTTCATCTGTCCTTCCTTCTACCCCTCCATGTCCCAGGCCCAGATTATTCTGAAGCAAATCTCAGAAGAAAATATCTCATCATTAATATACAAAAGTTCAGCCACTCACATCTATAATCCCAGTACTTGGGAGGCTAAAGAGGAGGACTGCCATGAGTTCAAGGCCAACCTGGGTTAGTGTAAGACCCTCTCTCAAGAAAAAAAGGGAAGAGCAAAATAAATATATATTCTGTGTATAGCCAAAGTTGACCTTGAACTCAGTCCTGCCTTAGACTCCATAGTGACAGGTAGTCTTATAGTAGACACTACCACCCTGGATTTACAACCTTAAAAATGTAGACTGACTCCTGTTCATGTAAATTACTAGTCAAACAGATGAAGAATATATTATATATATATATATACAAATGTAGAAATTATAGTAGCAAAGAAATAATAATTATAAGAAAGGAGAGGACTAGGGGTATAGCTTAGTAATACAATGTTTTCTAGGCTTTCAGGAAGCCCTGAGCTCAATTTCTAATACAGTAAAAATTAAAACAGAAGAGCTAGAGGGGCTAGAAGAGCTAGAGATGTACCTCAACCCGCAGAGTCCTTACTTAGCATGCACGAAGCCCTGAGTTCAATCCCCAGCACAGCATAAACCAGGTATGATGGCCCATACCTGAATCCTAGCATTGGGACTGTTATATCACAGACCCCCTAGCTGTCTGACCCTCCCCCAATTCCAGGAATCAGACCATGTCTCCCCTGCTAGCTCTGGTCTGTCACCCTAAGAGGAATTGAGCTTCCATATCTCTGAAGCCTCTAAAGAAAAACTCTGAAGCCCATACACCCTCTACTGGCTTTGAGCTATCTAGGACCATGTTCCCCATCCCCTGGGGAAAGCTAAAAAAGCAAGGTCTCAATCTCCGCCCCCCCTTTTAGGCTCCCTGCCATGCCATGGTATCTCTTCTGCTTTTACTTTACAGTAACCTTTTTTTTGAGAACTTGTTGCATTTTGTAGCGTTGCCTGCCTGCCTGTCTCCCTAGTTGTAGGATTAAAGGTATACCTCACCACACCTGGCCCCTAACTTTCTTAATGTTTTTACTGCGTTCCCCCACCTCATGGCCCCTGTCTTGCTGCCTCTGAAAGGATGTACTCTCCTATCTCATGGTCTGACCATACATAGCCCCCCGTGGTTGCATGGCTCTCTCTTCTAAAACAAAGCTCATTTTCTGAACAGTAATTTCATACAAGCTCCTTTGCTGAACTGCTGTTTCTCTTTTTAATAGAGACCAACACTTAGAAGGTGGAGGCAAGGAGGATCAGGTGTTCAAAGTCAGCTACAGAGAGTTCAAGACCAACCTTGACTGGTCAAAAAAAATGAATGAAATTATTAAGTTAAAATAAATTAGCCAGGGCTGGGTGTGGTGGCACACAACTTTAATCCCAGCACTTGGGAGGCAGAGGCAGGCAGATTTCTGTGAGTTCAAGGGCAGCCTGGTCTACATAGTGAGTTCCAGGTCAGCTGGGGCTACAGGAAGACCCTGTCTCAAAAAGACGCCCCCCCTCCAAAAAAAAATTAGCCAGGCATGATGGCATGCACCTTTAATTCCAGCACATGGAAGGCAGAGGCAGGTGAGTTTGAGGCCAGTCTGGTCTACAGAACAAGTTCCAGCCAGCTAGGGTTATACAGTGAGACTGTCTTTTTTTTAAAAAAAGGAGGATGGGGGCTGGAGAGATGGCTCAGTTGTTTGGAGCACTGGCTGCTCTTCAAGAGGATCCAAATTCAGGTCTCAGCACCTACACAGTGGTTAACAACTCTCCATAACTCAAATGCCTTCTTCTGGCCACAGGCACTGAATGCATATGACACATGCACTTATATATATATGTAATCAAAATCTTTCAAAAATTAAGTTTATACTTACATCTTTTTCAAAATAATAAGCCACATCAGCTATGTCCACATCATCTTCCGTTTTTTGAGAAGAATTTTGCATCAGATCAATAGTGATAACATTATTCTCATACTGGGGTGGGGGGGATTGAAAAATACAAATTAATTTTACATTAAATTTTTTATGAAATTTTGTTCAATAGTAAGAATAGAGCTTGATTTTCTGTAATCTTCATCAGGATTCCTTTCTATTAATGGATAATTAAATTTATCACTAGTCATTGAAAAATCTTTGAGACCTTTAAATCTATCCAAGAGTATAAGACAGAAATGCAAACTAATTTTTTTTTAGTGTTAAGGAAGGGGCTAACTGGTGTGATAGTTTGTCATCTTGACACAATCTAGAATCACTTGAGTAGAGAATCTCAAATGAGGAGCAGTCTTGATCAGAATTCCCTGTGGGCTTGTCTGTAGATGATGTTAAATAAGGTGGAAGACCCACCCTGAACATGGTGGTGGCATCATTTCTTGAGCTGCACAATGGACTGAATAAAAGGAGAGAAAGCTGAGCACAGCATGCATGCGGCTCCTGACTTCAGATGTGACCGGCTGCCTCAAGTCCCTGTGACTGTGACTTCCCAGCCATGATAAACTGTCATGTGGAGCCGTGAGCTAAAATAAACCCTTTCTCCTCTACGTTGCTTTCTGTTAGGGTATTTTACCACAGCAAGAGGAAGTAAAGCTAAGACATTAGGTAGAGACTAGTTCCTTTAACCACAGAAGGGAACAAGGGCAGCACCCAAAGCAGCATGTGCTGAAAGCAATCACAGAGAGCTTCTAAAAAGAGCAGCATGATTTAGGAATAGTAAAAGATCCTCCATGTCCTCAAGGGCAAAACTGGGGTTTCAAAATCTATGGAAGGAAAACAATAGGGATTTCACTTTAAGTGAACCACATTAAAAAGCCACTGGCTGCCACTTACATCTAAACCATAGTGTCCTATGAACCTTCTACTAATTTCATTTATCAAAACCACCCTGCAAAAAACTTACCAGAATATTTTTGATAAATTTTTTATCCAGTTTGTATCGAGAAAAGAAGGTATTCTGAAGTGCACTGTAAATAATTAAAAAATGAAAAAAAAATTGTACCACACAATAGTAGCAAACTCTACTCTTAAAAAACGTTTTACTTGAGGCTGGAAAGATGACTCAGCAATTAAGAGCAATGACTGCTTTTGCAGAAGACCCAGGTTCAAATCCTAGTACCCACATAGTGGCTAACAACTGTAACTCTAGTTACAGGGGATCCGACCCCTTCTTCTGACCTGGGCGGGCATTGTATGACATGGGTGTACTTACATACATGCAGCAAAACATTCACACACATAAAATAAAAATAATTTATATTTATAAATTTATAAAAATGTGTGTTTTACTTGCATGTAATCACACCACGAGTACAGTGCTTGTGGAGGCCAAAAGTGAGCATTAGATCCCCTGACACTGGAGTACAGATGGCTGTGAGCTGCCATGTGAGTGCTGGGAACTAATCCAGGTACTCTGTATGAGAAGTAAGCGCTCTTCTGCTGAGTCTTCTCTCCAGCCTGGAAACTCTACTTCTTAAGCAGAGAGTTTGAGGTCTCAAGTTTTTGTTGTTTTGTTCTGTTTTGGTTTTTTTTAGACAGGGTCTCACTGTGTGGCCCTGGCTGGCCTTGAACTAACAGAACTCCACCTGCCTCTGCTTTCTGAGTGCTAGTATTAAAAATGTGCACCATATGACCACACCCAGTTAAGTTGTTAAATTTTTATGCCATTTTGCAATTATTGTAATAAGCAGGGGATTTGGGCTAGCACTGTCTGTTAATACTAGAGTTGTGTGTCAGATGATAGAAGCAGAATCTTTACACAGTACCATGTAGCTGCCTACAGTTTATTAATTACAAAGGTGAAATGGTAACCACAGTGGAGAAACCTGGCAGACATGGCTCGTAAAGGAACAAGGTGACATCATCATGAGTCTCCTGATGTAAGTACTGGGAAAGATCCCTTAAATGGTTTTCCTGTCATAAATACACAACCTGTTTTTAGTTCAGAGGAGACTTCAGACAAGTCCAAATGAGGGACGTTACATGAAACAAATGGCTCATGCTCTGCAAAAATGTCAATGTCATGAAAGGCAAAGGCCAAGAAGCTGTTCTGTATTAAAAGGGGCTGGAGAGAGTCATGAAAACTAAATGCCATACGTGAGATTGGATGGAGTCCCAGGTCAGAGGGAAAAAGCTGCTACAAAGTATAACAATAGAAAAAAATTGACATGATACAGGATTATGTTAAATTTCCTGAATGTGACCCTTTGTACAGGAGTTATAAACAATGACTTTTATTCTTAAAAGATATACTAGCTGGGCATGGTGATGCACACCTTTGATACCAGTACTCCAATGGATCTCTGTAAGTTCAAGGACACCAGGTCTATACAATAAATTCTAGGCCAGCCTGAGTTTGAGACCCCATCTCAAAAAACAAAACGAAACAAAAAAATAAACAAACTCCAACAATGAAAAAGGAAAAGGTACAAAGATCTTAAAAGTACCTAGGGGAAAAGGGACATGATTACCATGTGCTTTGAACTGGCTCCAAAAAAATTTACTTATGTCCAGATAAAAGGATATAAGGCATACACACATATGCACACACAGAAACACATACAAAAAGAAAATGTAGCCAGTACAGTGTGGTAGCACACACTTTTAATCCCAGCACTTGGGAGGTAGGGGAAGGCAGATTTCTGTGAGTTGGAGGCCAGCCTGGTCTACACAGTGAGTTTCAGGTCAGCTGGGGCTACCAGGAGACTGTCTCAAGAAAGACCAAAATAAATTTAAATAAAATGTGGAAAAATACTAAGCAGTAAATCTGAGTGAAGTGAATAGAGGAATCACTGTGCTACTGCAGTTCTATTTCAGAGAACCAAACCATTTGGCAGAAATAAGAAAAGGCTTCACATGTAGTTTTCTAATGCTTCAGGACAGAAAAATGAGAGCTAAGACAATAGATATATGGTCAAACTTACCTCTGCAAACTTTGAAGATCAAAAGGATTTTCTCTTTCTTTGTGTTTTGTTTCAATGATGATCCAGCTGTAAAGACAAGATGGTGACCTGTCTATAACTCGGTCTTTCTGTTTTCCAAAGAGTAAATATTCCAATTTTGAAGCAGAATTAGAGCCGAAATGTCGCTGTAAATGTTGCTGTGTTATCTTCCCCTTATCTTCACAGAGAACCCACCCCGAAGGAACATCTTTCCATTACTGACCCACTGGTGCAACATCTGTGAAATCAAGTTCAGCTGGCCATGCTGAGCCCTGTTCCAGGGAGAAGACAAAATGGATAGGATAGGGGTGGTGGTGCACACCTGTGATCCCACACTGGGAAGGCAGAGGCACAAGATGGTTCCAGGGCCAAGGCGAGCCAGGGTTATAGCATGAAACCATGTCTGAGAGAGACAGAGGGACAGAGAGACAGAGACAGAGACTAGACCATAAAGCTGGAAGGCAGAACTAGAGCAAGCTTTGGGTGTGGTACCTTTCCAGTTTCCTGCTCCTTCCAATAAAGTCCTTTTTGCTTAAGCAAAGTTTGAGTGGGCTTCTGCTCATTTTCATTAATCCCCCCTCCTTAGTGCTAGGGGTTGAACCCACAGCCTTTCTACCACATACATCTCCAGCCCAAATATCTTACTCTTAAAAAAAAAACACGCAAATACAGTTTGCTATTCACATTCACCTAACACTAATCCAACTTTAAAAGTTAAGTGAATGTAAAGGAAAATCATGCCCAGTACACCCTTATATGTAAAAACCAAGAATAATCTATCTACACAGTAAATTCATAAGCCATTTCTGGCAGGTGATGGACGACACAGATGACAGCTGTTCTACTGAGGTACATGGGCAGCTGAGAAACTGGGGCGGGATGGTCTCCCCTCTGCCCACCCTTCTCTTTTTTGTTTGCGACAGATTCTCAAATAGTCTAGTCTGGCCTCAAACTCACTATGTAGACAAGGCTACTTGAACTCGTGATCCTCTTGCCCCCATCTCCAGAGTGCCAGGTTTCTAGGTGTGCCTTTTCCTATCTTTTGAATGACAATGAAATCATGTTCCATATTCAAAACTAAATTTAATTAACAAATGTGCAAAGCATGAAAACACAATGTTGGCAGCTTCACTCACTAGGTCCTCACTCGTTCAGAGCAAGTTATTTCTGTGTCCTTGTCAGTCCTTCGGACGCCCGCCGTGTTCACACACCAGCACGTGGCAGTGCCATTGCACTGCTTGGCTTTAAAGAGCCCTGTCTCATCACACTCGGGATCGTATAGCCCGTCATTATTCTGGATTGCTCCCTCAGGTTTCAATCTCCTCCCAGACTTGCTGTGAGTCATTTCTGCCTTCATCACCAAACACTTAGATGCCACTGAAAAAAGAGGAACATCAAACTGAAAAATAACTGTGCAGGGAAAACTTGTTAATTTAACTCCAAACCCCCAGGCCAAAGATTATTTCGTATTTCCATCTTCCCACACTTAATCACTTGCTGAAGAAGCTTCAGGTGTCAGCTAATTTTAACCAAATAACACGATTTGGACTAGAGCCAGTAAAACTTAAGGCACATCATCAATTTAAAAGCATTATCAAGATGAAGCTTATAGGGGCTGGAGAGATGGCTCAGCAGTTAAGAACACAGGTTGTCTGGCAGAAGACCCAGGTTCGAATCCCAGCACCCACATGGCAGCTAACAACTGTCCATAACTCCAGTCCCAGGGGATCCAACAGCCTCTTCTGTCCTCTGCGGGCACTGCACAACATGGGTGCACTTACCTACATGCAGGCAATACACGAAAAATAATAAATAAAAAGTTTAAAAAAAGATGAAGCTTATAGGCAGTAAGAATACTCACACTTGGAGCAAATGACAGTATTCTGTGTACCAAAGGAATTACACTGGCATTCACCCCTTTCATTCATGAAGCAACCTGTTGTCAGCTTGTAGTTGTCACAGACACAGTCTAGAAAATCATTAAAAAATCAGTTTAAAATCTGCAATGACAACCATTAACTCTAATGTTCCTGCTAAATTATGTTCCGACAATCGTGCTTTTAAGAAATGGTCCTGGCGCTGTCAAGATGGCTCAGTTAAAGGCACTTGCCACCAAGCCTGATGACCCAAGTTCAATTTCTAGGATCCACATGGTAGAAGGAGACAACTACCTCCCAAAAGTTGTCCTCTGCCCTCCACACATGCACAGATACACACAAACACAGACACAGACACACTAACTGTAGAAAGAAAAATTTTTTTATTGGTCTTTTTGAGACAGGGTCTCCCTGTAGCCCCAGCTGGCCTGGAACTTGTTATGTGGACCAGGCTAGCCTTGAACTCACAGAGACCTCCTGCCTCTACCTCCCAAGTGCTGGGATTAAAAGCCTGCACCACCACACCCAGCTAAAAAAATAATTTTAAAGTGGTCATGAAAGCCAGGTGTGGTGGCATACAGCTGTAATCCCAGCACTGGGGAGGTGGAGACAGGATTGCCTTGAGTTTGAAGCCAGTCTGTACTACGTAGCAAGTACCAGGCCAGCCAGGGTATCAAGACCCTGTCTCAAAAACCTAAACAAGGGGGGACCGGAGACATGGCTCAGTGGTTAAAAGCACTGACTGTTCTTGCAAAGGACCTGGGTTCAATGCCCAACACCCACATAGTGGCTAATAACCATCTATAACTCCCGTTCCAGGGGATCCAATGTTCTCTTCTGACCTCCGAGACATTGCACAACACACGTATACTTACATACATGCAGGCAATACACTCATATACATATAATAAAAATAACAATAAATATATTTTTTTATTGGTCTTTTTGAGACAGGGTCTCCCTGTAGCCCCAGCTGGCCTGGAACTTGTTATGTGGACCAGGCTAGCCTTGAACTCACAGAGACCTCCTGCCTCTACCTCCCAAGTGCTGGGATTAAAAGCCTGCACCACCACACCCAGCTAAAAAAATAATTTTAAAGTGGTCATGAAAGCCAGGTGTGGTGGCATACAGCTGTAATCCCAGCACTGGGGAGGTGGAGACAGGATTGCCTTGAGTTTGAAGCCAGTCTGTACTACGTAGCAAGTACCAGGCCAGCCAGGGTATCAAGACCCTGTCTCAAAAACCTAAACAAGGGGGGACCGGAGACATGGCTCAGTGGTTAAAAGCACTGACTGTTCTTGCAAAGGACCTGGGTTCAATGCCCAACACCCACATAGTGGCTAATAACCATCTATAACTCCCGTTCCAGGGGATCCAATGTTCTCTTCTGACCTCCGAGACATTGCACAACACACGTATACTTACATACATGCAGGCAATACACTCATATACATATAATAAAAATAACAATAAATATAAAAACTAAACAAGGGGCCATGGCTCAGTAGGTAAAGGCACTTGCCTATAATATGCCTGAAAAACAGTTCATTCCCCAGATCCCACCTGTTGGAAGGAAAGAACTGACTCCCAAAAGCTGTCCTCTGACCTCCATTCACATGTGCCACCTCCCTCAATAAATATAAAAACAAAGAATTAAATGAAAATAAAATCCACAGTCCTGAATACTAAACTGTATGCATTCCCACTTCCAACTCTGTGTGTTGTTTATTGAGGGGGGCACTTTTTAAAGGAAGCATGCATTAAGATTTAACAAGGAAATGTGGGAAAGAACTTTTTAGAGTGGGAGGGGCTCCATGGGAAGAATATTTGGAGTGTTTCTTGGTGGTGGGAGGGGCTCTAAGGGAAGAATATTTGGGGTGTTTCTTGGTGGTATGGGGGTGGCAGCCTCTTGTTTAAGCTAGTGAGCTATACTCTTGGCCTGTTTTTTTGTTTTGCTAAAGTCAGGGCCTCACTAGATAGCCTAGGTTAGCCTCAAACTCAAGATTTTTGAATTTTTTTGTATCATATTTATTTATTTATTGGAGGGGGGCACTCTATGGTACATGTGTGGAGGTCAGAGGATAACTTGTAGAGTCAATTCTCTCCTTCCACCATGGGGATCAAATTCTGGTGATCAGGCAAGCACCTGAGCCATTTCACTGGCCCCCAAACAAGATTCTTCACTCCCAGCCTCCTGAGTGCTGGGATTAGAGGTGTTGGTCACTACATGGTCAATTTTGTTGCTGTTGGTTTTTAAAGTCTTAAATTACTTTATTTTTCAGACAGAGTCTTGTTATGTAACCCAGGCTGGCCTCCAAACTTACAATCCTCCTGCCTCAGCCTCCCAAGGACAGGCATATCACTACACTTGGCTCAATGTAAAAACAAACAAACCAAAAAAAAAACCTTATTTTTCAGTGCTGAGGGTGGAGCCCAGGGTCCCTCCAATGCTAGTAAACTCTCTCATTGAGCTACACCCCCAACCCTAAACGAGGTTTTAAATAAAGCACCCCGAGCAGGGTATGGTAGCATCTACCTTCAGTCCCAGCACTCAGGAGGCAGAAGTGAGTGAATCTGTCTGCGATCTAGAACAGCCTGGTCTACATAAGTGAGTTCTAGGACAGATGGAGCTACAGGGAGACCCTGTCTCAAAAACGAGCCCTCACCCCGCCCCCCCCAAAAACACACCAAAATAAATGAGGCCCTCCAAAGAGCTAATCAGCTTCACTTTTGTGCTACTTGGCTTTCTTTTTAAAAGCTTTTATTTTTATTACATTGATTTATTTATGATTTATGTGTGTATACACATGCCATGGTTCACATGTGGAGTCAGAGGCCAACTTTCAAATCTTTTCTCCACTTCTACTCACTGCGCCATCTTCTTTTTTGAGACCGGGTTTCCCTGTAGTCCCAGCTGGTCTGGAATCACAATGTAGACCAGGCTTACCTCAAACTCATAGAAATCCGCCTGCCTCTGCTTCCCCACCCCCAGTGCTAGAATTAAAGGCATGCACCACCATGCCTGACTCTGACTGAGCCATCTTAATGGTCCTCTATTCCTTCCTCTTCTCCTCCTCTCCCTCCCTTCCTGGCAGGGTCTCTTTCTATGGCCCAATGGATGTGGAAGAGTCCTCCTCTTGCCTCAGCTTCCCAAGTGCTTGATTTAAGACACACAAGGCTACTACTCTCACTTTCAAAATTTCCCTCTTTTCCTGCTTAGCACACCCTTGCTTAAAAGTACTGTGCCTTTTCCCCAAAACTGTCAACAATTCCAATTCTAAGATCTATGGATTCTCCTATCTTTTTTTTTTTTTTTCCAGCTGGCCTGGAACTATGTAGACCAGGCTGGCCTTGAACATAAGAGATCCACAGGCCGGGATGGGACTAAAGGCCTAAAGGTGTGCCTGGCAGGATCCTCCTATCTTATCTGTCCCTTACCCAATTTCCTTAAGTAATCACTTACTACTTGAGGTTCAATAGAAACATTCAGTCTTTTTGTTTTCTTTTTTTTTTTTTTTTGAAACAGCGTCTCATATAGCCCAGGATGGCTCAATTTCCAGCTCAATATCTGGCTGAAAATGACCTTGAATTTTCCTCCAGTTTCCACTACCAAGTGCTAGGATTGCAGGTGCAAGACTGATTTGTGGGGTGCTGAGGATCAAATCCAGAGCCCTGTGCATGCTAGGGAAGCATTCTACCAACTGAGCTACATCCCAGACCTCAGTTTGTTACTCAGCCCCAGGTTGAAGCTAGAAAAATGTGAGTTGATTAAATTGCATTACTCTGTAAGTGTAACTAATGCATGCAGACCACCCATTAGTGGAGAATGAAATCTTCCCCAGAAAACAAAAGCTAAATTACATTGAACTTATAACTGGAAGTGGGGAGGAAAAGGAATACTTCCAGTGTTTTGTCCAACATTGTCCACCTCCAGCCACTACCATCTCACAAATAAATCAAAAGACCACAGCCAAACTATTCTAGAGTAAGAAGCAGACTCAAACTACAAGTCCTTCTCTATAGATCCTTCAGCCTCTTTTAAGTACAGTTCTTAAAGACTGAAAGAAATGGAGCCGGGCAGGTGGCACATGTCTCAAAAAGACTTAAAAAAAAAAAAAAAAACTAAAAGAAACGGGCACAACAAAGTGGCTCATGGGTAAAGGTGCCTGCCTCCAAGCAAGATGACCAGCGTTTGATCCCCAGAACTTACAATGGTGGAAGGAGAGAACCTGACTCCCTCAAGTTGTCCTCTGACCTCCCAAGAAACACAGAAACACACACACACACACACACACACACAACCAATTCTTGGGGGAAAAAAAACTTAAGGAAATGGAAAACCAAATGTTGAGAAAAATTACGATACAAATCTACATGATTAAACTTAGAAAAACACTTAAAAAAGACACATATAAATGGGTGTGGTGACACTTGCCTTTAGTTCCAGCATTCTGGAGGCAAAGGCAGGTGGATCTCTCTGTTCTACAAAGCTAGTTCCAGACTAGCCAGGGCTACAAGGTGAGGCCCCGTCTCAAAAAACAAACAAAACTATGTATATAGATACATATATACACACACATATATACACACACATGCATAGATACAAAAATATATACATATATATGAAAAAAGAAATATACACAAGTTTAATAGCGAATTCTGAGAGTGGGAAAATGATGAGGTTTTTTTGTTTTGTTTTGAGACAGGGTCTTCCTATAGCCCCAGCTGGCCTGGAACTCACAGCGTAGACCAGGCTGGCCTAGAACTCACAGGGATCCACCTGCTTCAGCCTCCGGAGTGCTAGGATTAAAGGCGTGTGCCACAACGACTGGCAGACGAGTTTTTAAAGTCCTTTCAGTTTACCTTTTGTTCATCTGTCTTCCCTACAATAAACATGACATTACTCCTGATTCTTAGAAAAGGGAAAAACACCTGGGGCTGTAGGTCCCAGGGGTCGGCCTGCGGCGCGCAGGTGCACCGTGGCGTCGCCGGTTACCTGTCCCCGCCCGAGGCCACATCCGGACCCTCGCAGAGGCGGCGGGGAGGGAGGGCCGGTCGCGGCGACAAAGACTCGGGCGCGCCGCTGCGCTGGCCGCGCTGCCCGCCTGGGGTCGGGGCTCAGAATCTCCGGTTGCCACCGCAGGGCCCAGGGCGTGGGCCGCTGGGCTACCCTCCGCCCTACGCCCTGCTGGGGCCGGGACCCTGGAAGGACCTCAAACTGCCGCCGTTTCCCCGTGGGGCTGCTCCTTCCCTGCGGCGCTGCTCCCTCCCCGCCGGGCTGCTCCTTCCCGCGGCGCTGCTCCATCCTGCCACCGCCTGGAAACCGAGGTCCCGGCCCGAGACGTCCGGTCTGGGACGGGAGGCACTGCCCCTCCCGGCCCCCGAAGCGTCTGGCCTGGACGGCCGGCTTCGGGACTCCTTTCCGTGTCGGCGCCTCACCTTTCTGAGCCGCGGCCACCGTCGCCGTGGCCACCGCGAGCAGAAGCCCGAACGCGAGGGTCTGGGGGGGCGCCATGCTGCGCAGGGACCGGGGACTCGTGTGGCTGCCGGGAGCCAGAACCGACGCGACGCTCGAACGTCGCAGGACTGTGCGCTGCGGGCTCAGCCGCCGGCGCCAACCTGAGGACCCCGAGGCTCCGCCCCTCGCCCTCCCCGCCGCTCACCTGCAGCGAGCGCCCCGCCCTGCCCGCCGCAGGTGCTTCCCGCTGGGAGCTGCGACCTAGGAGCGGCGGGAACCCCTGGGCATGGCCTCGACTGTTTACCCTTGACCGGATATCGGGGAGGGCGCGAGACCCGAGGTGGAAACTGGAAGGCGCTAAGTCAAACCGCGAAACACAGTAAAGAAGGCGGACTTTGGGCTTTGCCTGGCAGTGTACGTCTTTAAAACTAGACCAAAACAAAACTGATATATACATATATGTATATCCTATCGCTCGCTCTCTCCCTTTCTCTCTCTCTCTCTCTCTCTCTCTCTCTCTCTCTCTCTCTCTCTCTCTCTCTCTCACCACCTTTGGAGCTAAACCACTTTTACCTCTACTAGACTACCCTACTAAACCTCTAGGGATCATCTTTCCTCAGCCTCTACTAAACCTCGGGATCAACTTGTTCCACAAACTTCCCTCCCTTCTGGCTCACTGCGTTTTTTCCACTTTTCTCCCATCCCATTCCTTGTACTTTGTCTCCAGCTACTGGCTGGTCACGCCATGCTCTCATTGCAGGGTTTTCTGCTCCTCTCATTTGCCTCGAAATCACACATGTGTTGGAAACCCCTTTCCTTTCTCTGGATATAGGACACTATTTCCAGAGATAGGAACACGCACTACTTCCTGTCCAGGACAGGGTCATGCCTTTCCTCTCCCTGATGATCTAATTGCAGGACACCACCTTCTTGGACTTGGAAGTAACTCAAAAATAACTCTAACCCGCAAAACAAAAAAAAAAGACACTTTGTTTTGATGCCTGGTTCTCCTCGTTCTCATTTTGCGTGACCGAATGCCAAACCCCTTCTCCTCCTACTCCCTCCCCATCTCTCTCTCTCTTCCTTTTCTGCTGAGCTTTCCTGCCCGGACTCATGATCCTGCCTCCACTCCCTATGGAGGACCCAGGCTCCAATCCCAGCACCCACATGGCAGCTAACAACTGTTCATAACTCCAGTTTCAGGGGATCCGATGTCCTCTTCTGTCCTCCAAGGGCATTGCATGACACAGGTGCACTTACATACATGCAGGCAATCCTCACATAAACAGAAAATAAAAAATGAAATATTTTTTTAAAAAAAGAAACCTCAAAAAAGGGTTTTGAAACAGGAATATAGCTCAGTGGGAGAATACTTGCCCAGGGTGTGAGAAAACTTGGGGTTCATTGAAGAAAAAAAGTAAAACACATGTTTTTGTTAGCTGTGATATCATAACTTCTTTAAATTGTTTATTCCATTTGATAATTTATCGATTTATTTGGGGGACTCAAGTGCTCCATGACAGCCTGTGTGGTCTGCAGACAACCTTAAGGAATCAGTTCTCTCCCTCCACCTTGTGGGTTCTAAATTCTGGGGACTGAACTCAGATAGTTAAGGCTTGGTTGCAAGCAACTTTACCTTGTGAGCCATCTTGCCAGCCTTCATATCCTGTTTAAAAGGGATTTTTATTTGCTTACATTATGGGAATAAGAGTTCAACAGAGGAGAGAAGAAAAACCAATTACAGCCAGGCATGGTGGCACAGCTCTTTAATACCAGCACTTGGGAGGCAGAGGCAAGCAGATCTCTGTGAGTTTGAGTCCAGCCTGGTCTACATAGTCAGTTCCAGGCTAGCTGGGACTACAGGGAAACTGTGTCTCAAAAAGACCAGAAAAAAATAAATAAATAAATAAAAGAAGAAGAAAGAAAGAAAAAAGAAAACAGTTACAAGTATATGTCAAGTCAAAGATTATGCCTGTGTTGAACAATAATTTCTGTGTTATACTTTCATACTGGCAAGTTGATTACTATAAAGTCATATCATTATAAATAACTCCATAATATGAATTTTACTTGATGCATTAAGCTAATTAGATGACTGACATCTTAAGGAAATCCAATCAGTATTTCAAATATACTTATTTGTTGCTAGACCTATTTTTGGAAAAGGGTGATGAGTTGAGCAAATTGTTAAATGAAAAGAATATTACTAACAAATCAGGAACAAGTTATCAACCAGGTTGTGTTATCTGCCGAATTTGGAGTATTTCCAAAAGTTGAACCTTTCTGCCCCCAAACTACACATACTTTTCCCAAGAATAATTTAACTGCTTATTGTGGCTTTGATTGAAGAATATTCTATTCCTAGATCTAAATCCCACTGAATAAAGGAAATTTTCATGCTCATAACTTGTATCTACTTACTAAATTGCTCATTTCAATAAGTAAACTGAATAAACATGATTATTAAAGTAAATGACAAAATGCCACACTAATCTCTGATTCATACTATCTAAATAGACATCTAAAGAACTGTTTATTTTTTTAGTCCACCCTCTACTCTGTTTTGAGATAGGATCTCATGTAGCCCAGACTGGCTTAGAACCTGATATATACCTGAAGATAACCTTAAACTCCTTAGTGCTGGGATTATATGTTTGCACCAACCATACTTGGCTCATTTTATGCTTTGTTTCTAAGTCTTTTATGATTCCAGCACCTATTTAAAATAATATTTTTGTGAAATTCTACACCCAAACATATTCCTGAAGTTATTCTCAAACTTCAAACTTGCTTTTTATTTTATTTTATTTTATTTATTTATTGTCTTTTTGAGACAGCGTCTCCCTGTAGCTCCAGCTGTCCTGGAACTCACTATGTAGACCAGGCTGGCCTTGAACTCAGAGATCTGCCTGCCTCTGCCTCCCAAGTGCTGGGATTAAAGGTGTGCGCCACCAGGCCCGGTGCTTTTTAATTTTTTTTTAAGTAAAGCAGAGTTGGAAGTTTTAATAAGAATACTTTAATATATGAGACTAAAAAGATAGCTGCTCTTGCAGAAGACCTGGGTTCAGCTCCCAGCACCTACTTGGATGTTAACAACCATCCGTAACTTCCAGTGCCCTCTTCTGACCTCCAACACAGGTGCACTCAAGTACAACACGCAGGCAAAACACTCATACACATACAATTTTAAAAATAATTTGATCTGGACAGGGTGGCACATGCCTTTAATCCCAGCACCAGGGAGGCTGAGGCCAGCAGATCTCTGAGATTCAGGCCAACCTGGTCTACATAACAAGTGCCAGACCAGCTGGGGCTGCAGGGAGAACCTGTCTCAAAAAAGACCAAATAATAATAATAATAATATTTTAACATAGGCTTAAGAAGGAGAATTAAGAGAAGAGGAAGCACTCTCAGAAGGCCAGGCACACCTGCAAGCATGGTGTGGGCTTCACAGAAAGGAGGAGCTTCACTTTTGATAGTACTAACGTTGCTGGGTTGGGCATGTAGTTCAGTGGTGAAGCACTTGCCTAGCATGTGTGAGGTCCTAGGTTTAATCTGCAAGACTGGAAATATAAAGAAATAAATGACAAAAATAATAAAATAGGGGCTAGAGAGATGACTCAGCAGTTAAGAGCACTAGCTGCTCTTGTAGAGAACCTGGATTCAGTTCCCAGCACACACATGGTAGCTAACAGCCATCTCTAACTCCAGTTCCTGGGGATCTGATGCCCTATCCTGGCCTCCAGAGGCATTTCATGTACATGGTACACTTACATATATGCAGACAAACACTCATACACATAAAATAAAAATAAATAAAATTTTAAAATAAGGATAAAAAATAAGACTGGAGAGATGGCTCAGCAGTTAAAAGCAATGGCTGCTCTTCCAGAGACCCAAGTTTGATTCCTAGCCCCCACACAGTAGCTAATAACCATCTGTAACTCCAGTTCCAGCAGAATCCACTGCCCTGAGGGCACTGCAAGATGGGTACACTTACATACATGTGGGCAATATACTAGTAAACATAAGATAAAACTAATAAAATATCTAAAATAAAAAATAGGATATATCTCAGTGCTTGCCTGGGTTCATGAGGCCCTAGGTTGGATATCCAGAATCAATCAACACAAAAACAAAAGGTTATTTTAAAAAAAAAAAAAAATCAAGAGCTGGCTGGGCCATGCCTTTAATCCAGCACTCCGCAGGCAGAGGCAGGTGGATGTCTGTGAGTTCAAGGCCTGCCTGGTTTACATAGTGAGTTCCAGGCCAGCTGGGACTACTCTATCTCAAAAAAAAAGACCAAGGGGGGGAAAAAAAAGAGAGCTTAAGATCTGGAGAGATGACTCAGTAGTTAAGCTGTTCTTCCAGAGGACCCCGGTTTGATTCCCAGCACCCACATGGGAGCTAACAACTGTTGTTAACTCCAGTTTGAAGGGATCCAATACCCCTCTTCTGGCCTCTCTGGGTTTATGACACAGGTGCACTTACATACATGCAAGCAAAACCCTCATGCACATAAAATAAAGATAAATGAATCAAAACAACAAACCCCAAGAGCTTCCTTCTTTATCTTGATCCTTCTGCTTTTTTACCTCTAATTTCACATAGTTCTTATTACTTCCAGCTATAGAAGACAATTATTTTCTCCTGCAGTGACCCCTCCCCTTACCCCCATCATTGCTCTCATGGAAATCATCCTTTTTTAAGATCATTACATTAATGTATATATGTGCGTGCCCCTGTGCGTCAGAAGACAACTTTGTTTTTCTTTGGTTTGTTTGCTTGTTGTTTGAGAGAGCATTTCACTATGTAGCCCTGGCTGGCCTGGAGCTCAGTATGTAGAACAGGCTGGACTTAAACTCATGTACCTGCCTGTCTCCTGAATGTAGAGATTAAAGGTGTTCACCACCACACCTAGATCAGAAGTCATCTTTGCCACTTCTCTCCTACCATTTGGGTGGACTGAACTCAGACCATTGGGCTTGGTGACAAGCACCTTTATCGACTCAGCCATCCCCCTGGCCTGTTCTCCCATTTTTTGTTGCCTTCTCCCCCAATTTTCTTCTAGAACTTCTCTTGTTCTTTTTTTGTTTTTTTGGTTTGTTTGTTTGTTTGTTTTTAAGACAGAGCCATGTAGCTCAGGCTGTTAGATAACTTGAGGTCATAATCTGTATCCCAAGAAGCCAGGTTTGGCCACTTGTCTTTGAGAAGCCAACTAAAATGGTCAAATTAATACTAAAAAGGAGAAAAAGGAGATTTACTCAATGTGGCCATATTGGGGAAGAAGGACAAAGAGATCCAGTGCCCCTCAAGTCTATCTTTAGGGTCCTGAAGTGAGATTAGAGATTAAAGTTTAAATAGAGGGTCAGGGATATGTGTGGTCCTGCCCACCACTGACCCACCATTGCCTGGTCTCCAGTCTCTCTAGCAAGGTGGTCTGATAAGTTGTCAGAATTGTGTGACATCTCTTTCTAGGAAGCAAGTTCCCCCTTTGGCTTGTGCCAGGCTTCAGCCTTTCTTTTTTCTCCCAGCTTCAGATTACTGGGGGAATTCTAGTTTCTAGGAGTCCATAGTTTCAATAGTCTGACAGATTGAAAGACACTTGTGTCTCCTTAGAATATATTAATTTCTGTCAGGCCAGATGTAAGGCTGGTCTAAAATTCATGACAATCCTCCTGCCTTAGCCTCCTAAATTCTGGGTTGGCAGACATGTGCCACTATGCAAGAGCTGTTTGGGAGATTTATGGGTCCTTTGTTCCAGTGCCCATATGGTAAGAGCATTCATTCTTCTTGAGTTTCCTTACTTCCCTTACTCCAATAGATTTGTGCGTCTATCCTTATCCCAATACCATACCATCTTAATTACCATATTCTTGAAGTCAAACCAAAGTTCTTCAACTTTGTCTTTCTTTTTCAAAGATGTTTTAGCTATTATTGGTCCTTTACATGAATCAGCATATCAGTTTCTACAAAAAAGCCTGCTTGATGCCAGCCTGGTGATGTACATATTTAACCCCAGCACTTGGGAAGCAGAGGCAGGAGGATCTCTGTGAGTTTAAAAGCCAGTCTGGTCTATATAGTGAGTTCCAGGTCAGCTGGGGCAATAGGGAGACCCTGTCTCAAAAAAATTAAAAAAAAAAAAAAAGAAAATGTATGAAATTCACAAAAATTCAATAAAAAAAAGAAAAAAACAAAACCAAAAAAAGTCAACCTGACTGTGTGCGCATGCACATGAGTGTGTGTGTGTGTGTGTGTGTGTGTGTGTGTGTGTGTGTGTGTGTGTATTGGGATAGTGCTGGGATTAAACCAATATCCTTAAGCAAATTCTCTACTGATAGATTCCCTGCCCCATCCTTTATGCTTTTCTTTTCTTTCTTTCTTTCTTTCTTTCTTTCTTTCTTTCTTTCTT